TTACAGGTCATTCCAGCTATTTGCAATAGGGCACGGGATTGTCATGTGTGAAAAGGCGCTGCCACTAAGGACCACCCCTACTTCCTTCATCTGGTACGAACCCTTCCCCTATTCTACCTACGATTTTCCTCGAGTTTTCTGCTTCCCAACGATTTTCCCAATTGTTCACAAATCTGTCTGAATCTCAAAAAACTGGCGTCAAGCCGCGGAAAGGGGTGGGAAGGGAGACCGCAATTTACTTCTAAAACCGACTATCATAGAGTAGTTGGATAGTAGTTTTGATAGTACGGCGCAGCACCTAGGGTGGACGTCCTCCCCAGCGTCCAGGTACGACCCTAGGCGGGTTCTCTCAAGGGTGTTGCGCCCTGATTTGCAATGAGATAACTTCTGACTGCCCCCTAAGGCGTTAGGCCCGAACTTGCCTTCATTATGCGAAACTGTTCATAGCAAGAAGAGACGAGGGATTTCTCGGCTTCGTGTAGTTCTCTTTCATTCTCCACCAGAAAGTGTTCCAGAAAAGGGAGAAAATTCTCGGATCGCTATAGAAGGCCTCCCAAACTACCCCCTTACCAGACCTCCATTTCGTTTGCAAGGGTGCCCATTTGAAAATTGAAAATTATGACTGGACGATTTTTAGAGCCTCAGAACCGCGCTGGTTAGGCGCATTCTACCAAAGCAAATAGAGCCCATTTTCAAAGCTGATGTGCATGCGAAAGAAAGTGTAGATCAACCATACCTGCCGTTTGAATAGTGACCGTTTTTCTTCAGTTGGTACAATGGTGAACGAGCTGACGAAAAGAATCAACGCTAACATCACAACGATCGGTATTTCAATGCTATCGGTTCGATCGAAATATTTCTTCGTTCGGAGTTCCAAGCCGATGTTCAGCTCTGCCAGCCCTTCAAAAAATGGTAATCACTGGTTGCAAGGGATATTGTCTTGAGATCTGACAGCAGGGTTGGTCTGGAATTTGAGCGCTGACGTAGCAGGGAGGCGCTGGTGCTGACATATATCAAAATGTGTCCTTCTGAATGAACGTCGAACGCATGGCGTATCTGAATGGGGGGGGGATCCGCTGGACTCCTTCTCCTGAAGGATGAGCAGCGAATGTAGAGAAATGCCGATTTGGCAAGAGATGGGGCTCACCTCTACTCAGAAAAATAGCATTAGCCACGTGCAGCATGAAAAGTTCTGCCTGCGAGACATAACGAGGAGCAAGGAAAATGAAATTCTCAGTCCGCTCCTGAAAAAATCCCCGAATGGAAAAACTTTGAATCAAAAAAAATTTTTGAGTGAAAGCAAAGCTAGCAAATAACGGGTCTAAATTGAAGACAGTGGACAAAGCAAGCCTGAGGGATCAGATCTTCAAGATTGCAGACCGTTCGCCAGTAAGCTACCTCTGTATCAGTTAACACCAATGAGAAGTTTGGATGGCCCTCGTGAACCACAAGCCCTCCCCCCCCCGAAATTTCCTTTTCTGGTACGACCCCTTTCCTAATCTTCCATCTTACCCCATCTTACCTACCATTTTCATAAAGTCTTTCCAAATCTTAACCTTTTTTTTTTTAGGAGAAAGTCTCCAGTTCGTCGAGCGGGACGGGGGGATTAGGTATATAACACCCGATGAAAGGGGCGTAATGTAATGGGGGTGCGCTCGCCAGCTTAGGGAGTAGGCCACGATATGCGTTCTGTGCTGTGTGCTTGGATAGGGAAGAGTCGTAAAGGCGTCTAGAAGAAATGTCGCTTTCGCTGAGTGGTCGGCCACAAGACCGGTTTTGGGTAATAACTCGGCAGAGCGGCTAAGTGAGTAGTCGTAAAATTCAAACCGGCCACATAACTTTTCCTTTAATGCGTAAAGTCCCTCCAATGCACCCATGGCATGGCCATCCTCGTGGCGCAATCTCGTTCAATATTTTGTCCGAGTTAACATACTGCACCTGTAATTACTGACTTTACGGCAGAGCTTGGCTACAGTATATGGTCCAGCTACAGAGTCTATAGAATTCCTCTTTATGAGACGCTTCGAGCCAGAAGACGTCACCCACAGTCAAAATTTGCTCAAAGACATATGCCCACTCTCGTACGAAAGGGGGGCAGGCTTGCATAGTGTGAAAGCCTAATTATAGTGCCCTTTCTCTCTAACTCGAGGGTAATGGGGAGAGCTCGCCGATTGGGAATACACAATTCTCCTTTCCATTGTCTCCTACCAACGGAAGGCCTGGCTCCGCCCGCAAGAGAAAGGCTAAATATGGCCTAAAGCTGATATGAGGCCATATTGCCCTGGAATCTCATAGATAAGAGAGCGTAGTGGATGGAAGTGGTCCGCACCAGGGAAAAGTGATGCGCTCTTTCATCGAAAACTCGTGCTTGCTATTTTTTTTTACTTTCAAATTGCTGCTTGTTGACTATATTCCCCCAGATGAAAAAAAAGAGAATTTGAAGAATACCCCTCACATAGTACTCTGCATCAAAAGCAAAAAAACTGAGAGTTTCAAACAAATGTAGTGGTTTTCGAACCTTGATGTTGCTGAATCTTCTCAAGTAATTCTCCGTTTGATTCCGAATCCTGGTCTCGTTGTGTGGATTGAAAATCACGAATCTTCCAGGTGGAAACGATCCCAGAGATATTTTCACTGAAATGTACAGCTTCGAGCCAGAAGACGTGCACCCCCGTCACTAATTGGACATCTGCTACACATTCAGAAGCAATTCCTGCTTAATAATTTTATTTTTCTGAAAAGGAAAACATCCGACAAAACCAGGAGTTTGGGTGTATGCGGCGTAGGGACAAGTGGAGTTACAAGCGTTAACCGTCGAAGTTCTAATAGACTGCCTCTATGGCCAACAAAGTCCTACACGCCCTTTGGGATGCTAAGCTGGTACCAGACTTCTCTGCGCTAACTTGTGAATCGGATGATTTTATAGGCTGAATCAGATTGAAAATGGTCTTGAATGGAAATAGAGCGCATGAGGCATCCCCAGATAAGATAACCCGACGCAGAAGGCTTCATTCTTTACCCTTTTTGTAGACCTACTGGCACAGTTCGGCTTGGTGAGGGCAACAAGTATTATTCAGCCAGCTAAGCTTGCACGGGGCTTGTCAAAACCTGTAAGTTCTTATGACCAATGTTGCTCACATAAGCAGTTTCGCAGCCGCACAGGAATTTACAGG